AAGAAAATATTTAGTTGCAAATTTTGTGATACATCAATAATTATACTAACTAATAAAAATTAGTAAGCAAAGATGGATAGTGACTAGCAGTGGAATCCAGAAAGCGTGTTTCGTCCTATTCGGAAGTTGTTAACTGGATGTACCTGCACTTGAGAGTTGATGTTCACTTTGGGACTCGAACCCAATACTTTTCGCTTCAAACACCATCGCGTTATCCACTCAGCTACTGAGTCCTGATAGTCACTAGCTTGTGCAATGGAGTGAAGTTTAAATTCATACGAGTAATACTAAGTGAATTTAATAAAAATTAGATTCGAAGCCCGCATGCGAGACATTGGAAGCGCACTGCTAAGGAGTTCTATACTAGGATGAAATGGCTGTCCAGTGCTTCCAGGTTTTTATTGATCGTCTAGCTGAGATCGACTTATGAATCCAGCTATGAAAAAAACTTTTGTTGTTGTTGAAATATTGCACATGTGTTTTGATACAGAGCGCTAATCAGATATTGTTAAATGATACGTGCAAATGACTGAGCAAGAAAGAGTTTTTATTTTCGAGGAATAAGATATCTATAACTGATATGCTTCATTTCCCAAGGAATACATTATATATACATAATTGAGTGTAGATACAATGTATTCCGTTTAACCACGAAAAAAAACTTTCTTTCCAGGCTCGTCGTACATAGAAAATATCAGTATTAAATCTTGGAAACCGTGAATCATAACAATCGCGTTTGTTACTACCATACGGAAGATTCAGATTGATTTTTTTTGATTACAGAAAATAACAGAATAGACAAAATATTTGAAAACTTCCAGATTTTAGAAGTATATGGGAGAACTACTCATATTTATAAATTTTATAATTTGATAGTTGTCAGATTACTATAGCAACTAAGTCAAAAAAAACTGAAGTAGGTTTAATGCAAAACCTTACAACTTGTATATCATTGCAAAGCAACATTGCATCACATCCAGACACTTATGGATTGACAAATCTTTCTATCAGTAAACTCTTCACCATTAACACATCCTTCCATTAAAAATAATAACTCATTGAATAATTAGCGAAAAATGAAAAGATTGCATGTAATGTGATTGTTAATTCGAAACAATGAAGAGTTAGTCATAGAATAAAACTCATGTTAACAAATAACAACTGTTGAATAAGAGATAGTTTAATAATAATGCAGTGTTCAAAACAATAGGTGTTTAGACAAATCTCATTGACAATCTGCTTCATGGATTTAAATAAGGAATACTAAACCAAAGGTCCGAAGGCGAAGTCGTACTGCTGACTGTACAGAGATGTGACGGCAGTAAGGTGTTTCCTTAAGACAACCAGCATGACAGCGATGTTGCCTTCCCACAAGGAGGGGTGGGGTTAGAAAAGGTCGGCCCTCAAAATGCACACCTTGCCTTATCTCACGAATGTCCGTCTCCGGCGGTAAGGTTCTTTTGAAGAACGCAGCTAACACAAAAACTACCCACAAAAAGGTCGTGTGTGACCGACCTCAAGCAGTTGTCCCCTGGGCACTGCGGTCACGCTCTCAGGTCATTAAGACCACTTCCAACCCAATTTCCTTTTCAGGTACCCATAGAAGAACCCTTCCACGGTGTGGGCAACTGGGAAGTGATAACTGCCCTCATACCTCTAACAGCACTCAAGACCACTGACTGAAACTACGTTAATCAAGTTAAGTGAATGAATGGTTTAACTACAACAGTTAGTATTTCTCGCTATTGGATTATTTTACGGTCAAAATTTTAAGATGGAAAGTAAACCAATTCAACCCCTTCTGTGTTTTGTTAGGCTGAAGAATTTGTAATCTTAGTATAAGATTAACTGTTTGGTAGTGATCATACACAACTGCAGAGTGGAATGGATCTACAGAAAACGCTTAACTTCTAAGCCACCGACTAATGACCTATTATCCAACAGTTTTCATATAACTGATATTAATTGATTGAATTTATATGTTCATAATCACAGAAGTTCAACCTCAAAAATAAAGTTTAATTCAACATTGGAACAATTATGAACCCACTGTTTCAGATCAAAAGAATTTTTTTTATTTTTCAGAGTTTTCAACAACCTTTTCCTTGTCATATCAAATCTGATTATGGATATTACATTCATAAAAAAATGGTTTGACCTTTATTAATATGTTTTCAACAGCAAACTTCCTCAAAAGGGGGGAGTTTTTTTTATAAGTCACTGTAAATAAATCTTATTTTTCATAGATGTGAAAATGAAGATCTGGAAAAAAACCAAAAACACCAACTTTGATTAATTAGCGATACACTACTACCATTTGTTACTCATGAATTATTTACACATTTTCAAGGTCAGTATTTCAGCAAACAAAACAGTAGTTATTTGAATTTTTGTATAAAAAAAAATACACAAGAATGCAGTACGTCATACACATAAAACTGTTTTGTTTTCTTTACGTTAAGCGAATTTAACAAGTTTGTTTATTTATTTATCTAGACACATAAGTATTGGTACAAGGAGGCATCAAATATATACACAACACACTTCGTCATTCGACTTGTGTGAGACCTAGAATACTGTCCGGAAGCCCAAACCGGAACAGTTGGTTTTTTTAGGAGGCCACTCCCTGAGTCTCTCATTTAGAGGTCCAATCCACAAGTCAGCGGAGCAACATTAAGAGGTGTAGTCTCATGGTGTCTGGTGACCAAAACTAGGTTCATATGTCATAGGTTTTCTCAGGATCATGGAGTCAGTGTTCACCATTGTTTTGGAATTGTGGTTTTGAAAGTCCGCTAGTTGGATCCTCCGGACATTTGTTCTTTGTCCACTTGCTTTCGTAAACAACACCCCAGCCGTGAGTACGTGTCAAACTGACCTAAATAATTAACGTTACACTTTATACTAAGAACAATAATAATAATACTGACGTCAGCATACAAACGATGAAACCGTGGGTGAGTTACCTTAAAATAGTTTTTGTAAATATTAATTATTATTAACTCACATTTCAAACATCTAGCAAAACTTAGAAGTTATCGTTTAATTTAATTGTTACAACTGAATTTCGCTAGACTGTATTGTTTGTTTGAATCAATACTTATGTGGATTACTTTTAAAAAAATATTGATCTTGGCACAATCAGCTGATTTAAACACAAATCAATAAAACAGGTGATTTCAAGTTGAATAATTAGTTAGAAGTGAGAGACGGAATGAAAACAGATTCCGTTTTATTGAAATATTATATTGATATATATTGGCAGTAACTATAGGAATAGTTTCCGGAGAAATCAGTTTAATAATCCAACCAAAATAATCCAGTTCAAACTAGGTCCTATTGTCTAAATCGTAGTTGCTACGTTATCGCACTGCTGAATGAACTGAGGCTTGACGAAGAAAGGTGTTCCCCTTTAGAAAATTTGTAAATCCATTTATGCTACTTTGTGTAACAGAATGAAGCTAAGAAGTCGGCTCCAAAAAGCACACTTCACCTTGTGCTGTTGATTTCGATAGTAAGCGACAAGGTCATATAAATACCAAGTCAATACATTGATAACTCTCACAAAAATGCCATGCGTGGTCAGATTCAACAGTAGCTGTTCTCTGGACTCTGCAGTAACAATCGCAGGTAATCAACACCATACTAAGTTAATTTCTTCTTCGGATATTTGGATAAATATTCTCCAGGGAAGTGACAACCGACCGCATACCTCTAAGAGCACCTGACGTTAATCTAGTTACTCCTTATTTTGGAAAGTACGATAGATAAATAACATCACTAAGTGATACCCCCGCCTTCGATATATCTCTGTTTTAATCTATTTAAAACGGTTCGACAAAACGTAAACTACAATATAAATTGTTAGGGCGAGACTAAAGAAGATGGACAACCTTTCAACGAATCTTAAATGACCTTGAGAAATATTACCAATCAGAAGACAGTTAGCATACAGTAAAAATATATTATACAAAACTCAAAAATTAAAAGGGGATACTGTTCTTTTACATGACTCAAAAACTTATCAAGGTCAGATATAGGTTTAGAAGTTCTAAAATCATAGTGCATCCGGCACAGGAACCCAACCCTGTGGCTCCATAGTAGTCGACCTCTGGAACCATGATAAAGTCCCGAAAATTCTTTCAGCCTCGACCACATAGTTTCAGTGTTGTCGGTATGTTGGTATGGTTTAGGGTTTAGGATTAGAGTTACGGTTTAGGGTTAAAGATGAGACTATAAATTATGGACGACATTTGAGCGACGCTAGAGTGAATCTGAGAGTGTCAACGTAATAACTAAAACTAAATGAGGGTTATAAACCTGTGTTAAGAATTCAAATCATGATTTACAGTTCATAGTTAAGGTTAGGATTTATACTTAGGGTTTTCGTCACGAACTGACATCAGCTATAATGCCACAACTTTATCCAAATGTATAATTGAATTTTGCGCCAAAATCTTATGATAACTTATCTTGTAGGCGCTTAATTATCATGTTTTCTCTAAAATCCGTTGTAAATCGACCGTACGTAAGCGTCAGGTACCGAACTTAGCGCCGTGACCTTGAAAACCCGCGAAAGCTTCTGATTGACTCGTCCATGTTCTTTAGTCTCACCATTGTTAGTTCAATGAAGGGACAAAGGACATTTAATCATAACTATAAAAATTTATAAGTGGCTAGCTAAAATATTTGACTATCACCAACAGTTTTTGAGTCCAAGGCTTAAGTAAAGCAAACAACCAAATTCAGTATGAATAGGGAACAGAGTTATAATATCAAAATTAATATAATATACTTGACATCTCATCAACACAGTTCACTTAATGTTAAGTTACTCAAACTAAGTTGGTCACTACTACTCGAACAACAGAATTCAATCAGTTACTTCTAAACGAACCAGAAAAATATATGTTGGTCACTACACTAAAGTACTACTACTCACACACACATATTATACAATAATACAGTGAATAAATCAAATACAAGCAACACAATTAACTTACCGTTGACGATCAAACAAATTATTAGCCAGTAAAAGTTTACTCTCCATAACAATACCGAGAATTTCACAAAGACGATTGAATGCAATAATTAATTCCTTTGCATTTTGTGTATTCTCTATAAATTTCGTCTGTAATAATGAATTCTGAAAACAAGAGGTAGAGGAAATGAAAGGAGAAAAAAACACCACCTGAAATAAAATCCAGGATAACTTTTAAGACTAAGACAAAAACTAATGAAGTTCAACTGTGTCAAGTGTGAGGCAGTTACCTATCAAAGACAGTGAAAGACGGCCACTCAATATCGTGGATTGGTTGAAGTTAAACATCAACACCAGTGGTCTAGATGTTAAGCGTTCGCACGCGAGAACGAAGGTCCTGGCTTCGAGTTCCGTATGCGTGTTCGCTAGTGCGCACTGCTGAGGAGTCCCATGCTAGGATGAAACGGTCGCCCAGTACTCCCAGGTTTTTAACGATGGTGTAACATTGATAGGTTCATGATCTCAATTAAAGCCCCCAAATGGCCTGGTACGGCTGAGAGTGGGGAGAGTCACCTCTCCCTCTCGAAATACTCTCATATGGACACGAGTCTATAGCCTCTGCCAGGGAAGTCATACTCACTGCCTTCTCGTGGCGGGGGTGTTGTTTACGAAAGTGAGAGGACGAAAAGCGAATGGCCGGCGCTATAACCGGATTGGTGGACACGGAGGGTCCACCTAGGGGAGTTGGAAAACCCTGATTCCAAACCAATGGTGCACATGGGCTCCAGTATCCTGATGGAACGAATGGCGGATGAACCTGTCATTGGTCAACGGCTACCATGGGACTGCATCTCCTCATGATGCTCCACTGACTTGTGGATCAGACATTCAGGTCAAAGGCTCCGGGTGTGGCCCCCTAAGAAAACCACCTGCTTCAGTCTGGGCACCTGGGCAGTATCACAGCCCTCACACAAATCGAATGAGATTTGTGAGGCGCATATTTATCTGGTGCTTCATTGTACCAATATTTATGTGTTTAAATAATAATAATAAATAATAATGATCTCAATTAAAACTCAACAATCTCCACAACTCTATACTGATAACAAAATGTAATAACTTACAACCTTTTGTTGAATTATCTGTTGATAAGCTTTTGTAGAATTCTGCTCGATTCCAATCATATTCCTGGCTAGACCTACAGCTTCACATAATAATGGATCAAGTTGTGAAAGACGTTGACTAAAATAACCAGGATCTAACGCATCACGTACACTGACCAAGTGTATATCATCTACACCATCATTATATGGTAATTTTGATGGGAATAAAGTTGACGATGATGTGAATGGTGGGATTTGTTTCTTATTCACTGCTCCATTGCTATTATCCGTTGAATTAATAGAAATATCTTTTGAACTGGACATTACAGTATTCATTTCAGCAACAGGATTGGTAGTGGTAGTGTTGGATGATGATTTCGTTGAAGGATGAGGCATAGTAGAAGTAGTCATTTCATCATAATTTGATTTTGAACAAGTAGTAACCATTGTAATCAGTTCGGATAAACGATTTGTTTGTCTAAATTCAATATTTTACAAATTAAAAGAGAATAAAAAATAAACGAACGAACTACATTTATCACCAAATATAAGCTCTTTATTAAGTTGACATTTACTTACTGCCAGTTTTAGGTCACATTGCTTTGTATGTAAGCGACGAGGGCTAGTGATGCCACTCGTCTGGATGTAGCGAATTAGATGAAGCTGGGTTCGAACTTATGAACTATTAGTTCAAAGTTGAACAATCCATTTACTAAACCATAAATAAAAAAATGTGCATTTCAAATTTAGCTGATCAACCTAGTAGTACGACTATTAAGCTACGAAGGTACAAATGAAAGTATCCAATTAACATATTTGGTAACTGACTGAAGTTTGATAGTGGTGGACAAACAAAAATGAAGGATCTGTTCATGAAGTTATTAACACTTGGACTGAACCGTGTTAATATGTGTAGACTATCTGGTTAGAGTCCGTGTGATTAATATAATATATAATTTAAGACTTTCTGTGACATGTCTTACAATTGTTCGCGATGGCGCCGATCCATTCAAGCTCTATCTTCTTTCAGAATGTGAGTTCTGAAATCAGTTTAAACTGTTCTTTCTCTTTCTGTACCCAGTCATTTTACTAATACTACCATTAATACTGTTAACATTCCCACAACTTTGAGATTTAACTCGAAATAATTTTATCTCGCTGCGCTCATGAAATACGGAGACTTGAATTGATGTACATATTTGTCAGATTTTACGTTGCGCATAACATAAAATAGACCAATAAAGATTGCTCATCTTTTGATCCTTAGTACATCAACAACAACAAAAATTCAAATTCTCATAAATGAATAAGTTTGTTTGATAAAACGAACTGAAAAAAGACAAATAAATTCCCAGAACATCTGCCAATATAACTTGCTAAACAGGAGCAGTTGAATTGATAGATACCATGAACGAAAAGTCTCTGTATATATGCATACAATTCAGAGGAAATGCACCTAGTGAAACGCTAAGACTAAAGTTACGCAGATCGATCCAAAGAACTTTTAATACAGGTAAACTACAATTAATGTTTTCTATACACCCGATGTTGCAAAATAAACTACCTAGACTAGCCACTTTTTTCTGTGTCTACCAACTCAACTGCTCCTATGGAGTCAGTTATATTGGCAGATGGTCTAGGAATTTGTATATTCGGGCTCATGAGCACTTCCCAGTGTGGTTAAGCAAATGTATAGTAAAAACTATTAACAGCTCCATTGTAGCTTACATAAGTAAATGTATACATAAGTACTTACGCTCTAACATAAACTAATTCATTACTGAAAGAATCCGGCAGTTTAGCATTAAAATTGAATGATGAGTCCGGACCAAATCGTAGTGAATGTATATCATGTAATGCACGTTTAATTATATCTAAAAACGCTGACTCATAACAATCAGATGCTGAAGAAGAATGATCCTGTACAATTGTATCGTTACCATCTTTGGTGGTATAATATTGATGATGATCCATGATGAAACGCATATCTGAAGAATTTGAATTTGTAGAGCATAAACTATTTAAGCTGGTTTGAGAGCCACCAGTGTAGAAAGACACTCCAGTAGGTTGATTTGATCCAGTACAAGTAGATCCTGAATTATTAGACATAATACCATCATTAGCAGGACTAAGGACACCGATATGACCAGTACTTGTTGTACGAACACGTCCAGTACTACCACTACCAACACCGGCATGTCGACCAAGATATAATGCAATCGATTGTAGGCCAACAGCTTTAATTGTTGACGGTGGTAAGGAATAACGCGTCCCAATGCTAGATATAGCAGATTGTAAACAAACCCATTCATATAAATTTGTTGGCTTAGGAATATTGTTAAAATTGAACTGAAAAATAAATAATCATAAAGCGGATTCTTTATCAATAAACTTTCCGAAATCAGGTTAATGATAAATGGAGTTTAAAAATACATAGGAAATTTCGATCATGCAGAAGTTGGACGAATAGGCATAATAGACCCACTGAATTAAATTTTATAACTTTTTGATAGTTCCTGATAGAACTTTATAAACAATTGTCTACACAAAACACTCAATGTCTGTCGACCGGATACCATCTACAACAACCTACTATGGGAGAGAAAAAACCTGCTTGCAAATGAAGAGGAAATTAGGAAAACTCGATGGAATTGGTGGATAGGATATATATTGCACAAATCATCAAACTACATCACGAAGTAAGAGCTAACTTGGAAACCTCAAGGGAAAAAGAAAAGAGAAGGACCAAGGAACACATTGCGTCGGTAATTGGAAGCAGACATCAAAAGAATGAATGACAACTAAAAGAATTGTAAAGGATTCACCAGGACATTGTTCGATGTAGAATGATGGTGGGCGGCCTATGCTCCTCCACGAGAGGTAACAGACGTAAGTATGTGAAGCTTCTATTCGCTGGTAGGAGATCTATGCTCCAAGAGGAGTGACAGGCTTAAATAGTTAAGTAGGTAAATAAGTAAAGCTTCTGTAATACAATAAAGTAGGTTGAAGCACAAAAATTTTCTGATGCCAAAGAAAGAATATGGGGCTGAATATCTTAAATCAACTACAGACTGATTTGCGCTATCTTTTGTGGACTATCTATCAGAATGATAGATCCCCTTGAATGTAATGTAAAAACGACCTGTGTATCTATTTTTACAGGAGTAAGCAAACTGTCAAGTTGTAACAACTTTCATACAAACATTTAATGAATAAAATGTATTTCTAATTGACTTTTCAAGACAGGCTTCAAGCACAAAACCAGCAAGATATCTCTCAAAACATAATGAAATTAAAAATTATAGATTGATGTAAAACCAGACTTTGAGTCAGTCATATCAATTTTAATGTGACATCTTGTGATATACCAATTGATTCTTCCAATATATAGATAAATCCAATGCGGAGCTTAAACCTATGATAGATGTGTATTGGTGAGACTAATCATTAAGTGATACTACTCAACAATCGCATGTATTGAATGAGTGGATGGGTAATATCAATCTTGAAAAAAAAGTCAACATACCGATTCTTTTTGATCAACGATTTCACTAGTTCCAGCTACCAACTGTGGTGGTAACGGCAATTCCGACAATTCCTTCTTTAATTCGTTGAAGCTAAAGATTAAAAAGAAAGTAGAATGATTTCAATCTACAAAATTCGACTTCAAGGTTTTGATGTATAAATCAATCTAGGATAACGTTTGTTGAACCATATCACAACGCACCAAAATGTTGACTAACGTTGACTAACAATATTTCTTAAGGTTAGGATTTCGATTAAGAATGAAGTTTACTGTTAAATGTATTGTTAAGAACTGCAGAAGGAAATTGTTAGATTGCATAATGAGGAACCTATAGACAAATAAGAAGATTTATTCGTCATGTGGAATGCTACATTATTGCTGAATTCTTTGTATGGCTGAAACAAGCAAACAAAGCAATTCATTAGTATAATCTGATTTTAGCATCCTTTATGTTTACTGTTTAACAGTATTTATCAACGACTGATCATTTATGAGTAAAGCACGTAAAACATCAGGTCGCTATTATTATTATTATTATCTTTAAGCCCGGCTAGCTACCACGTGATTCATTCGCCAATCGAAACACGACTTATTCAACCTTAGCACTGTGCTGAACCAATGACGTTTGATCAGTATGAGCAGTCTAGCATTCTTATTGGTCCTTTGCTGTCTAGCCCGTCCAGTCGTGTCTAGAATGCCAAAAACAGCTTCCAATATGCGAATCCTTTATTTTAAACATACTTGATTTACATACCAGCCAAACAGATCGCATCGCACCATAAAATAGGAAATAACATTTATACAAGATCGAGCGAAAATGTGACTGTGAACGTGAGAGATGGTAATTAGTAAACTGAACATAATTTAAGAACAGTAAATCGTATAATAATAATCTGTGGGTCAAAATGAAGCTTATAAATATATATATATAATATATCATATTAGTCCATTAATGACATTCGGAAGTTACCCGCAATTCGATCTTCACTAGGATATGACAATTATTATTACAAATCTAATTGAAATATTCACAATATTAGTAAGTGGTAATTTTTAAATAATGAATATTTCAACGTACTTGTACAATTTTCGTTCCCAATCTGATACACATCCTTCAAATTGAACCAACCGACTTGTTGCAAACAACAAACGTTTATTTGTATCTGCAGCTACTTCAGCTAAATTAGCCAGTGCAACACACCATCCCTAAAAAAATAAAGTGACTAGTTTAGGAAAATATGATTTTATTTAATTCAGTTAGACAGTAAGTATATATGTATATAAACATATCTCAAAATTGAAGGCTTTATCTCTTGGCCTCACACAATGCCTAAAGATCGTACATGTCACCTTTATGTGGCGATCAAGCCTGTATATCGTATCAACCCAGTTGAACTATGTCAACTGCGAACCATGTTTCTTTGTATCCTACTATATCATGTATGTCGGTTGCATGGTAGTAAGAATAAAAGCAACAAACACATGCTCTGATGGCGAAAACGTACAGTCAATTATACATGGGATAAAAACTGCAGCAAGTTGTTTTTTTAGGCAACCAACAACAATAGTGATGCTACCTTGTAACAACAAGAGAGTGGATAAAAGATACCCCAATTAAATAGCATACTTGACTTTGCCTCATGGATTTCCATTGCCGGTGGTAAGGTCTTAAAAGTACTGACCCAATACTTTGAAATTATTCACAAAAAGACAGTCGGTGAATGGTATCAAGCAGTTATTTCTTCAGTGCTGATATCACTCTCAGATAGTCAAAACAACCCCTAATCTATTTTACTTTTCAGGTACCGCGAAAAAACATGTCCTTCCATAGTGCGAGCAACGGAGAAATAATAAACCCCTTCATACTTCTAACACTACTCGAGATCACCTTGACAGATTGATATATAATTTCTAAAATCTTAAGAAACATGATCTCTCAACAAATCATTTTAGTAACTACAGAATAACAAATTCATAAAAATCCCTGTATGTATGTATGAGACGTGAATCACTGGAATTTTGTGAACATCTGAAATACAAACACATATGACGACGCGATTTATCAGCTGTAATTTTTCTTAATATAAGCGGTATTATAAATTGATTATGCGGACATAATACTTTCAAATTATCAGACTAGTAAATATTCAATTAAAATATATGAATACATAACGAAAACAGTAATAGTTCAGTGAGGTCCGACTGATATCGACATTTTTCTAAAGTTAAATGGTAATACCAAAAATATTTCAGTAAAATGTACATGTAACACAGTTAACAAACTTTCAATAAATTATAAGAGATTTAAATGTCATGAACTGAATTTAACAAGGAAAATATTCGCACTAAATAGGCTAACAAAGGTATATAAATACATACAAGAATCCCTTTTATCTAATTACAAACACTTATCGATAAATCATAAGTTGAAATGATGAAATGACATTTTATACCACTTATTATATTGTGAACAATTAATTTGTATTCAATAAACATAACCAGTTGGAAATTGTCATAAGTTACTAAATATGAGAAATTTATAATACATCAAATGTTTTAGGATTGCCATAATTCATTGGAAAATTTCTATTTTATTGCTCGATACAACTAAAGTTTAATTAGAAGCAAAGATGAACAGTGGCTAAAAGTGGAATCCCACTTGGGACTCGTCAGCTGGGTGTACCCGCATCTCACAGTTGATGTCGCCGTCCTAAACATCAATGGGAAGATTCAAACAAACAATACCAAATGAATTTAACTTCACCTCATTGAACAAGCGAATGACTATTAGGACTCTGTAGCTGAGTGGATAACATGATGGCGTTTGAAGAGAAAGGTATTGGGTTCGAGTCCCAAAGTGAGCATCAACTCTGAGATGCAGGTACGTCCAGCTGATGAGTCCCAAATTGGACGAAACGCGCGTTAAACTAGATTCCGCTGCTAACCACTATCCATCTTTGCTTACCATGCTTGAGAATTAAGGCTACATCGAGGAAATACGCACATATGCCAATTAGAGACTGACCAGTTGTAGTCCTAAACATCAATGGGAAGATTCAAACAAACAATACTAAGTGAATTTAAAGTTTGATTATTTTCAATAAACAATTGAGTTAAAGTTAGACATGTGTAACATTGAATAATAACTCAACGCCTTAAATGTTAAGTACTAGCTAAGATACTTTAATGTCTTCCACTCAATGTTCACCGATAAGGTTGTAGATGAGCAGTGACAAAGTCTTATACCAGGATAAAACTCCTATTCAATACTTATTGTTTTTTCAACATTTGTCTAAGATCAGTCTGCAAAGAAAATAACAAAATTCTACAGTTTCCACAAACCCTTCATAATACTGAATGGCAGCAGGCCTAAAATTACGGTTGAGTACTACTAACTCGCCCACTGTCTCTAATACTCATGATCTACATAATTTGATCGCCATTACAAACGACAACTGTAAATCGCTAAGTTCTTTATTCTATAATCCAACTGATAAGCTAAACTTTATTTTTATTCCGTATTAAACAAATCATTTGAAAGATTCTTATCAGTAGTCGTACGATTTGAAAATCAAATTCAAATGATCTGCGTATGTGTGTTTCTGTTAAGTTAGTAATAAGTACGAACAAAACTCAACAATCAGACATGAACTCAGCTTTGTTTAAAACACAATAGTTGATGCAAATGATTACTAGAAAAACTATTCGATTATCCCAATAGAAATGAGGTGGAGTGAGGGGTTCAAACATAAAGTGTCTGTTTATCAGTAATCACAGTTAACCTTCATATTTTGTCATAGAAATTGAATAACTGAAAGTTTTCAATGTGGAAAATACTGTTACGAATCTGACTGAAACATTCAATTCATCTGGTTAAAAAAATATAATTCACTGACACATCAATACTATTTATGAATATGGCTACTAGATTTTTGCGAAAAATTCGAAACGCGATAGTGAATACCTTGAAAGTTATCAAAAGTTAAGTAAAACGTACCAATAATACACTATTAACATGCTTTAAATTATTAGACATGACGGGGGAAAATAGAGACTACGATTTATGGGTATATGGAGATCACTTGAATGTGATTGAAGTTTACAATAAAAAAACTAAACATGTATTCATTCATGTGACAAGGCATTCTTTCATTCTGTTCCTAACCATCACTTCTAAACCTTAATACTAGATCCTAAACTTAACCTTATAAGGTAATTCTAGACGAAAACCTTAGGTTTCTATGTAATCAATTATTCACTTATATCACCTACATTCTGATCAGTTAAATATCGGCTTCCAGCACATTTAAAGATCCGCTGAAGATCATCAGTAAATTATACTTTCAACATTGGCTTATCCAGTTTAAAATAATTTTCAATTGATCACATTATTAGTGTGTAAATATACTACTGATAGAAACAGTCACACAAACTATACATATACATATATGAAAGCTTATATACCTGTATCATTTGACGTTGTTCAGAAACCAATTGTTCAATTGCATTGGCAGCTTCACGACCAATCGGAGTAAGTGAACGAATAAGACGTAATCGCTCTTCAAATACCTTTTCAGATGGAGCTAATTCTAATAGACATGCAAGTTGTCGTGGATATCCTCCATCTATGACATTAGAGAGAAAAGAATTTATTCATTTTGCTTAGTTAAATTTTGGCAAAAAAATACGATTGATAATTCATTCAGAGAAAGAAAACAAATGGATTCATAGCTTTATGATATAAGACCCTAAGCTTCTAGAAGATTCCTGAAACATGTTAAAACTGATAACGAAATCAATCATTAACCAATTAGGAAATGATGGATAACTCATTGTTCCAGAAAAAACTAGAATTCCGCAAAATACTAACTGATCGGAATATATTCAGCATTTTAACAAATTCTAAAGACTTTTTCACAGAATAATGGAGAGGTTTTTATTAGACAAATAAAAATATGTTTTTAGGAATTTAATAAATTTCTCACACAGCATAAAATCAATATGCAAATGGCAAATGTACAAACCGATTCGAATCTCGCGAGGCGAGGTCGTGGATGCGCACTGCTGAATAGTCCCACGATAGGACGAAACCGCCGTCTAGTGTTTCTAGGTTTTCCCTGGTGGTCTAGCTTCAATTGACTCACGCTTTCAACTATGAAAACAGAAAACTGCCTACCTTTACTAGAAATTCGGAAGGAAAAAAAACGTAAGACTTTCTGAAACTATCTACCTTGTGCAAGTAATATTCAGTTAGTCAGTCCGTCAAAAAGTAGGAGCAGACAAATATATGCATCAATCCAAGTTGCCATACCTCATTAGCACAACAAGATGAACACCATACTCATAGCAGTAACTTGAAAGGCAGTAAAAAATGATTTCACATAAGGATATGATACAGGGAGAAAAAATTACTTCGTGGAAAGAAAGGTATAGAGTAATTTTAATCTCAGTGTTTGAGGGAAGACAAGACGTGTAATGTTAAACTAATTCGAAAACACATAGAAAACTAGTTTAGCTCGTTGACTGGTTTGTTAGATTGAAAAACTGGATACGTTTTAGTGGATTCATGTTTAAATAATAAAAAGAGTAGGATGTTATTTATTTATCATATCAACGTTTAAGTACTTGGAAGTGTCACAAAGTTCGTATAAGGGAATTGTGATGCTTGCCAATTGCTGAAATTGAAGTATGTGAAATAAGATTTCAACGAGGAATCTATTGTTCAGAAGTAGAGCGCTCAAACTATTAATCCATTGTAACAAGTAAGGATATAATATGACATTCTCAGCATAAATCATACGCTGTACGGATAGTATGAAATTTTACAATAAAAAATGAAAAAAACTATTAAATAAGTAGTTTTGAAGTTAGGTGTGAAGGGATAGGTATATATATGGCAAATTGGTTGATCATGATGTAAATCTTCATTGATTAACATGATTAGAATGTGTTAAGCATACCTCCTTAGTGTCAACTCCGATTTGAATTAACGGAAAGATTATTAACCTATTACTCAGTTTTGTATCACATACAGTGACTTCTTATGTGAGGTTTCTTGTGGCTGGGTAATCAATGTTCATAATCGCCTGCGTTTTTCAGTAGAAGTGACAAGAAAGGATGACATAACAACAGGTCTAACTACTTGCAGTGTTCTTGTCCTGATTGATCGTTGTGGCTACATAAGCTGGTTGGACCAATAGACGTTAAGATTTCGTGGTCATTATTCACAGTTATGGAATCATTGATTAAGAGAAGGTTAACATTTTATTATTAGATGAACAGGTCATTGGTCTAATAGGCATACAGTGGATTCCGCAATCAACTACTACTATAATTAGAAAACCCGTTTACACAAGCAGTCAACATGAAGCTGAGGATACAACAATCTTGACTATGTTTGATTTCTTTTACGATCACTCATAATATCGTTTTCAATCCTGATTTTTATCTTGTTGTAAATGTTAACATGTAGGATAACAAATTGATTCAAGGCATATTTATTTTAGATACTGCTTTTCATGGTGACTGACTGAACTACATAAACATTACCAATATATCCATATAACACAGTTCACATTGAACTCTGCACACATATTTCACGCAACAGAATACATTATTAAAGTGTTCCAAGAGAGTGTGAGAGATTAGGTCTAAAGATGGACAGAGTAGACTAATAGACCATGAGTTCCCCCTCACAGCAATTACTTTGAACTGTAAATACTTTTATCTGGTGATTTTCACAGTCCAACGGTTAAAAGTAGTGGAAAAGGCCTTAATTTGATATCTAATCCATTTTATTATGTAACACGATACAGAAAACAATTAAACTAACCATTAACTTGCAAGACATCTGGTTTTTGAACAGTTGTATCATTTGAAAATGTTTGTGTAAACACATAAATTGGATTAGTTTTATCCTGAATAAGAAAGAGAAAGAACGCAAAGAGAATAAAACCACAGGGTTGACCACGTCTTCTGAAACAAAATAATGTAATTCCAGATTTAATAATAACACAATTGATTACTAAAACAAGAAATAATAACACATGCTGTAGATATATACACATATTTAACACAAATATAAAAATGGTTTCCATCGGCAACTTATTTACGTAGTACATATTTATAAAATTGGCTTGGAGTCATGATAATCATGTGAAGAAGGCCAGGGATACTGTCAAAACATGAGATTTGCTAAATCATGTAAACGCAGAAAATAAAGACAAACTATTCAATCAAAAATCAGACATCATGAACCAAAGCATGTTGACAAAATTATACACAATGGAAACAAGTGAGTGGGGTTTATCAACAATATAAAACAGTCTACTGTATGTAATATAGTATCCAAATCACAACTCATATTGACTAAACGTACACTTAATATAAAAACCGTCAGTTCGAAATAAACTAGGTGACGTGAGGTCAAATCTTATAACCTGATTAATTCTAGACATATGTACACGGAAGTGAAATGTATGTCAGTTTTCTTCTTCTGAGAATTATCATAAAACTAAAATGATAAAACAGTGATAAAAAGAAAGAAACTACTTAAAAAATAATGTACCAGAAGTTTTATTACTAATAAAATTGTGATGCATGCTACTTATGTCTGTCGATATAAGCAGTATCTAACATCAATCAGAACTGCAATACCTGGCAGAAAAAGGTTGAAAAAATCGAATTGGAGAGAACAGAAATGTAAACAGAGAGTAATTGTAATAACAATAGGAATGAAGGAGCGAATGAGTATGTAGGAGACAATTGAAGAAAGATGTGCAAATGAAGTATTTAATGTATGGTTTTCGTATTTTACGGAGATATTCTGTAATTTTGTATTAACTGAAAATCGGTTTCCCCCACCTGAGTTCTCTATCACTACAAAGCTACTCTTTACAAATGATTGATCACTGAGTAGTGATCTATGTCAGGTCCTCCTTAGTGCAGATCTAATTCTATTGACCAAGTCGCAATGTGGCCACTAGCCTAAGTGACTTAACATTGCGTGCATTATGTTGAAAAGAGATCGAATCCCTCAGGGAGCATCAGTTCCATCAAGATTACAGGTAAATCTTGATGACGAGTGCCAAATAGCATGAAACCTAGGTTCAGCGTTTCCAATCGACTACCTCCAACCACCATTTCAAAGCTCCTTGAATATCGAAACCTAAATATATGAACCTAAAATTCATACTTGCTTGAAATTGATCAACCATTAAATAGGATTGAAACATGGAGATAGTTAAATTATTTGTGGTGAATTTACCTATAATTACAGAGAATTATTATGAAATCGAACACAATATAGAAAATTTAAGTGTTTATAGGTAGTCAGGATGGAATCCTAATTCATATAGGTTTCATGCTATCTGGCATTCGTTAATAAGCCGTACCTGGAATCTTGAGATAAGTGATTTCACCTGCTGGATTCGAACCTGAGTCACTCAACTTTACAGTTTGGAACGTAACCAATGAGGTATTCATGTCACGACTGATTTCTTGTTGAACTAAAATATGTATAACTGATTGAGCACTGAGTAGTGATCAATATCATGTTTGTTTAATCCATTTAGTACTGTTTGAAATCTACTGATCAAAGTGTAATGTGACTATTAGTCTAAGTAACACGATATCTCAATCCTACATTAAATCAGTCGCAGCCCGAATAGCTCAGCAGTAAAACTTCTAACTGTGAAGTTGAGTGATCTAGGGTATAACCAGTTCCCTCAAGATTGAGGATACGCTTTGCTGAGCACCAAATAGAATGACATGATAGATAAAGTTAGTTGAAGCAGGATTTTCTCCCGACTACCTACCTACAGCCATTTAACATCCTATTATAGTCCATGCAATCCGGAATCATTTAGACCAGTTGACCACATTGCAACTTGATCGACTAGCAATAAGTGCATTACATAAACATGATACTGATCCCTAAACCACTCAATGATCATTCAATTATGCATCAAACACCTTGCGAACGTACGCAAACATTAAAAGCAAATAAAAACAGGAAAATAATGTGAAGTCAGCGAATGCATATGTATGTATATGACTAATACATATACCAAATGACTTAACGCAAGAACTCACATAACATAAAGTTTTATTTTTGCAATAAAAATTATCGAGTTGATAAATAGAGCAGTTTTATAGTAAAGTCAATCCTCGTACCACAATGTGATGAATCTTTTAGGAATATATATTTTGTTGAAATAGATTATAAGCCTTACCCATTTTCTCAAAAAACATCGGTGTAGTGACCTCTCTCGAACTACATAAATAAAATTATTAATCCTAATAACAAACGAAAGAATCAACACAAGGAGTAAATGGAAGGCCAGATATCCACTCACCCCCTAACTACTCTTAACCCAAGCCTTCAACGATTAAGAAAATAAAAGAAACCCAAAGGTCAATTCCTGATTCAATCGATTATGATGATACAAGGAAAAATCAAGGGTATTTGTCAAATGCTTTAGTGCGCCCATGAGAATCACTGATTCAGGAGAAACACGAGAGACACATGACTACTAATATACAAATATATATATATATATATATGACTTAAAGTTTACAAGTAGTTGACATCTAATGTACACATTACACTACACTTTTGAAAAGAATCATATTTCTCTAGGGGATTATCTTTACGATTAATTTATTATTACTCTAGTGTATTTTCTTAGATTACAGAAAACATGAACAATATAAAATTACAACTTGACTGGATTCAGTTTTAAATAAATATTGATGCATACAAACACGTATTTGTACTAATGAAATGTACCATTATTTGATATGAGGTACTCTTAGGAGTGATTTGTATATAACATTATACATATACTTATATTTCCGAAAATTACCGGTATCCTACATCATTAAAATAATGTTTACTTACATTGAACTCATTAATTAATTACTTGATTCATTTCTTATGTAAACAATTAAATTTGAAACTATAGTAGTGAGGAGTGTTTTATAATTATGTGAAATATTTACTGATAGACAGATACTTGTGATTTAATACAAACCTATGGATTATTGAATAGTAAAATTAACAAAATATTTGACGACCAATTTTACCCTTAATATTGTTCAAAGTGGATAAGAATTAAACTTGATGGTTAAGTTTTAATTTCATTGACAGTTGAGCAATAGTATCATACAGACGTTTTTGAAGTTGATATTTAACCAATTTGTATCACTTTCGGCCTAGACAAAAAGTCCCTCTCCCACGAATATACACCGAACCAATTTACTCTGCATCACCTTATAATTGTGATTCATGGTAGAGAATGTGCGAAAACTGTACATTTTTAATTATGAATGCCTTGGAAGTAGTGCTCAAGCTTTGTGGAATGACGGAGTGAACAATATTGAGGTAAGTATTAGATAAAGATAACAAATTGGTCGATGAGGTAATGGATCCTCATCTACTAAGGTGATTAGGGTATGTGTTACGCATATCTAACTACTGTCTATCTCGGAGCGTTATATTAGCTGGTGTATAAGGTTGGAACAAAGCCAGAAGTGGCCAAAGTAAAACGTGATATCAGTCCATAAAGTCATTAACTGTTGGTTTGTGCATTGTTGGTAATGAAGATAACTTAGTTGATGTTCGCGTGATAACCGCGACTAGTTTTTGTAAACGCTGAGTGATATAACTTAGAATTGGTCACATTAGATCAGATGTACTCAGCACTTATCCTAATCTAAATATTGAGTTCCATTATCTCTTAACGCATACCTATTCTGTGTGTTTTTATGAACCACATTCGCAATACTTAGTCCTTCTCATTATTGCTCCTGCTATATTATTACGATCCCTTTTCTATTCATTACGTCAATTTCATCTCACTGCGCTGGTGGTACGAGAACTCCAGACAATACAAATATGCATCAGCTTCTGTGTTTAATATAACTGACTGATACTTGATCGCTCTTACTTCCGCGTTTTTACTTTGTATCTACATAAAAGTATGTACCTGATTGAATGACAAATTTTGTTTATTGGCTGCTAGTTATAATCGTTTATGACAACTCGTTTGTGGAGATTCAGTCAATAATTCAGGTTATTGCGACACAACTACCCGTCATCCTAACGTTTTGCAATATTAGACATCTATAAACCAGGAATCCTACTTCTTTTTTCCGTAACAGGTTGCTATAATCTCGGTGGACCCATATTAAGAAGTGGTGTCTATGTGGTACAAAAAACCAAGCGTCAACAACTTATATGGGATTGTGATATACTGAAAGAGGCTAGGCATATCTCGTCCCAGTGTTCACGTATAATATCAAGGTAAAAGGAAGGTGGAAAACCACGAAATTGTAGAAAACCGATTACACACCTAGACAAGTGTCTTAGCCTATATAGCCTTGTTTATACCGAAAGGACAAATATATATACCTACGATTTGAGTGCGTAACACCGTTTTGCCAATCAAAGATTCTTAAATATTCCTCACTCCATTCACTCGCATCGGTTTGTATCTAAATTCAAAAGTCACAGTGTGTAACAGATTAAAGATGCGAACCACAGCCTACCTATTCGGGTATCAGAAAGCCGAGACAGAGGTATCACAAACATGTATAGGTTTTAAAGCCAAGTCAATGAGCTACGTTAGGATTAGTGATATTACTTGTTATATAATCTAAGTAATGCTGTAAGCTAAATATTGAGAGTCGATGAGTTTAATCGACGCTTTATATATATATATATATATATATATATATATATTTGAAAATGGCTATAAAGAGCAAACACGTTTCGTCCACCTACTCAATTTGTTTAGGAATTGGAAGATGAAAACTATCTAACTCTGTTGTTATCACACACCTAAATAAAGATAAATAGACATGTTTTTTTCGAAGGAAAAAAGGAACACAATTTTATGCATTTACTGCTCGATAA